AAGTTCGCATTCATTTCAAGAGAGTTAGAATAGGACAAGAGCAAAGATATACTGCTGAGGCTGTATAAGGCTCTGAGCAGACTGCATTTGGAATATTGTGAGCAGTTTTGGACCCTGTAGAATCACAAAATCATCACAGAATCTCTACAGTGAAGATAGAGGCCATTTGTCCCATCAAATCTGCACTGACACTTCAAAGGGTATCCCACCTCTCAAACTCCGGATTTACCATCGCTAACCCACGCAACTCTGGACACTACTATGCAATTTATCATAGTCAATCCACCAAACATGCACCTCTTTGCACTGTGGAAGGAAACTGGAACACCCAAAGGAAACCCACACAAACATGGGGAGAATGTGCAAACTCCACATTCCAATCACCAAGGGCTGGAATTGAACCTGAGTCCCTAGTGCTGTGAGGCAGCAATGCTAACCACTGTGCCACTGCGTTGTACCTAAGGAAGGACATGTCGATGTTGGAGGGGATCCAGACAAGGTTTACAAGAATGATCCTGGGGATGAAGGGCTTGTCATATATGAGGAGCGGTTGAGAATTTGGGGTATATACTTGATGGGGTTTAGAAGAATGAAGGAGAATATCTCTTGAAACTTACAGAAGACTAGAGGCCTGGTAGAGTGGACATGGAGAAGATGTTTCCGCTAACAGGAGAGACAAGGACACAATGGCACAATCTTACAGAGAAGGGATGTCTCTATAGAATGAGATGAGGAGGAATTTGTTCAGCAATACTGTAACAAATCTGTTGAACTCATTGCAGCGGAAGGTTGTGGAAGCCAAGTCATTGAGTATATTTAAGTAAGAGATAGATAGGTTCTTGATAGTAAGGGGATCAAAGGTAATGAGCACAGGAAAGAGAATGGCATTGAGAAAGATATCAGCCATGATTGAATGGTGGAGCAGTCTCAATGGGCTAAATGATCTAATTCTACTCCTGTATCTTATGGTGTTATGGTTTTGACAAGGAGCCAATGAAGATAGTGAGCAAATGGACAAAAAAGTGACTGATGCAAGTTAAGACATGGGCAGCAGAGTTTTGTATAATCTCAAATTTAAAGTGGGTAAAATGTGATGGGCCAGCCAGGAGTGTTTTGGAATAGTCAGTCAAGTCTAGGGGTAGCGAAGGCATGAATGGGTGTTTAACAGGAGATGAGCTGAGATTTGGCAAGGCTTGAAAATGTTACAGGGGTAGAAATAATCAGTCTTATTCTTAGTGATGGCATAAATGTGAGGTCAGAAGTTCATCTTGGGTCAAATGTGGCAGAAAACTGCAAACAGACTGGTTTAATCTTAGACTGTTACCATGGAGAGGGATAGAGTAGTAGCTAAGGAACAGAATTTGGAATGTGTGCACAAATGATGGCTTTAAACTTTCCAAAATTGAATGGAAGAAATTTCTGCTAATCTAGTATTGCATTTTGAATAAGCAGTCTGATAGTCTTCTCTAAATAAAATCATGTTTAACCTTTTAATTACCCTATCATTTTGTACTAAGATCATATAAATGCTTATACTTTGTGTATTTATGGAGGCATTATTATGAAGATGTATTGTAAAATATTAATTTACATAATTGACTGGATATGAATATATTTTATATATATATATAAAAATATATATTAATCTGATCTTATTGAAAGAAAGCACTTTACAAGTAATTAACACATCTCCCTCAGCAAAAATGCTACATTTACACAGAACACAAGCTGCTTGTTGCTTGGTCTACAGCACTGTGAGAGAGGTCACATGGCACAGGCAGTCAGAGAGAACTTGTCACAGGGGCACGTCCCACTTTTCTTTCTCCGAAAACCCTCTCATCAATGTATGTGAGTTGAAAACCCCAAGAGGTCTCATCATTGCAAATAAAGGGTACATGAAGGAGAGGACTGAATCCACAATATTGTCTCCAAGAAAATAGAATTCAACTAGCCTTGACTGATCTGAGAAGTAACTCCAGTATCAAAAGCTTGTGTGGAAAGTGACTTTGCCTACAGACCAGTTTTTTAGACAATCTGTGAATAATTCTTTTCTCTTGCTTCAACTGTTACTTCGCCAAAATACCTTTTAAAATAATACTCTTTAGAGTTTCGGTTTGGGACCCTTCTTCGGAAATCGGGGAGGGGGAAGGGAGCTCTGAAATAAATAGAGAGAGGAGGGGTGAGGCTGGGGAAGGTAGGTGGGATGGTGATAGGTGAGTGCATGTATAGAGTGGTGGGGATTAGTCAGTGAGGTGGGAGGGGCAGATAGGTGGAATAGAAGTTGGACAGGTTATGTCAGGTCATGGAGGCGGAGATGAGGGGGAGAGTTAGTCATGGGATGAGGCTGAGGGTGGGGAGATTTTGAAACTTGTAAAGTCCACATTGAGGCCATTTTGTAGGTTCCCAAGGCTGAATATGAGGTGCTGCTCCTCCAGTTTCTGGGTGGCGTCGTTGTGACACTGGAAGAGGCCCAGGATGGACATGTTGCCCAGGGAGTGGGAGGGGGAGTTGAAATGGTTTGCGACTGGAAGGTGTTGTGGTTTGTCGCGAACACAGCGCAGGTGCTCTACAAAGTGGTCTCCGAGCCTTCGCTTGGTCTCACCAATGTAGAGGAGGCCACATCAGAAGCAGCAGATGCAGTAGACCACGTTGGCCGATGTGCAGATGAACCTCTGTCTGATGTGAAAGGTTTTGTTTGTTCCTTGGATGGAGTTACTGCCTGGTCCGCTGTGCTCCTCCAGCTACACACAGTGTTATCTTTGACTCCAGTATTGGCAGTTCTTATTATCTCTATAGAATTTTATACCTTTGTTCCAAACATGCAGAGCTTGTGTTCATGTCTGTGTGTGCTATTTTCAAGAAAGGTCGTTAGATATATTTGCACATTTTAATGCAGGGTCAACCGGGAATTCCTGACCAAGTTATATACAGAAGGCACACACACTGACCAAGTAATGAATTTCAACAGTAACCATCCTAGCACCCACAAACGAAATTGCATGAAAACACTACTTAAATGAGCGACAACACACTGTAGCAACCCGGAACTATGTCAAAAGGAAGAACAGTACCTCCACCAAGTACTTAAGGACAACGGATACCTGAACAATTGGATCTGATGATGCATATAACATGAACAACAACAGGAAGTTGCTGCATGCCCTAACACACTCATCACACTGCCTTACATCAAGAACATATCTGAACTGGCCACAAGACTCCTACGACCAGGCCAAACAGAGACAAGCATGGGAATTCCTAGAGGTCTGGTTCTCCACCAAGAAGGCCATCAACAAACACATAGAACTAAACCCTATATATACACCACTGTGGAGGAAAACCAGAAATGAGACAATCAAATCCAACGGACCCCAGAGTTTAAATACCAGGCGGGAAAATACACAGCGCTTCATTGGAGGCTGCACTAGTGATGTTACCCAGCAGGGTAATGAAAGGTCTGCAAGCTAACAATCCAGTTCGGTGAGCCAACCAACCACAACATCCACAATCCGAGCTACAGATCTACTCAAGAACCTTGCATTTTAAATCTTTTTTATTAGTCTTCATTTCTTTGCTTCAGTTTGCATTTGGCAATTAATTAATTACCTCTCCTAACTGGTTTGGAACAAGAATTATTCTTCCATGTGGATCCTCAGAGTCTACAGCGTGAGTGCCTACAGTGCCTCTTGAATGAGATTAAAACTCTTTGTACCTGCTGAACAGTTAGGAATGGAATACATGAAAGTTTACCTAAGAGAAAGACCTTGAAGTCGGATGAAAGAAGTATTATGTTGTGGTGCTGGAGTCACATGAACTGTATATGGTTGGTGAAAAAGGGAATCTTCAAAGTGTGATCAACCTTGAGTTTGTGATGATTCAGGAGAGGGAGGGATTAATTGCATGAGTTTGAGTAAAAGACTCCCTTCTGATTGCTCAACACTGGTGCAAAAACTACAAGGCAGAAGTTATGAAAATGAGAAGTGTGAATCCCAGTCTGCATGCCCCACAAAGGAAACACAAAGGAAAGCCTGTCTAAACCTAGCAATTACTGTTGAATTTATTAAGTGCTATATTTACATACTTAAGTCTTTACATCATCTTGCAATTTTTTTGTGAATTCTGAACCAAACAAAAATCTTACAATTTAGCAATAGTGAAAGATTCAAGAGAGGTGACAGTGTGCTAGAGCTGGGCATTACCATGTTTGTATGAGGCCGAATTCTTCTGATGGCAGGAAGGAATGTTAATTGGCTGGAGGCCTGTTTTCTGCTTTCCCATGGGCAGCATTCCTATCTTAGAGAGTTGTCACTCAATCTGATCAACCACCAACTCTGTAGTCTCAGCTGCACCATAGGAACAAAGGCAGTTGTTGAAACAACAAGCGGTACCACCAGTCAAAGTATTGAAAACTCAGGATAGAGGCCTGAGGATTGTGGTGTCGTGTTTTGAAGGTAAAGTGAATGGGAGGATGAGAGGGGCCCAGATATTGGAAGTTAACACCCAATTTTGGAATGGGGCCAATAATGGAGGTGCCCACCTTTCCACCCAAGGCCTCTGCAGGATAACCTGTCAGGCTCCCTTCTTGTCCTTGTGCACATCCCACCTCAATATCACAGCTGGGGCATTAAATAGTATAATTTGACTATTTAAGAGTCTCTACAAGGGAAAGAATGAATGGGAATTCTGAGGTCAACTGGGAAATTTTATACAAATCCCCATCTTCAACTCATTGATGGCGTCCTGTAAAAATCTGCCCATGAAAACTAATGCTGTATTCATGGATGATGTCACCAAGGGTGAGCATATAGATGAGAAATGTGAGGGACCAGGTGTGGGGGACTTTGAGGGTAAAGTGTGGGAGCAGGAAGAGAAGCCATTGAAAGCGCTTCTCTAGTTGTGGTATGAATGGAATTAAGCTCCCGTGAATTGGACTTTTCGTATATGCTGCATTCAGCAAATTCCAAATTCTGAATTGTTACTTATATTGTTTATTTACTCACCCCTTCCCAGACCATCGCTATATACTCCCCGTTGACCTTCTGTTGTATCCTCAAAGTCATCTGTACAATTACATAAAGCTTTATGCCATTTCTTCTGAATGTGTTCTTTGTCTATATAAGTAAAGAAATAAAGTGGAGAAAAAGAAAATCAGGAAGTGATTCAATTTTATTAGTTGTGGTACATTTAACTTCCAGCATTGGGCAACATTTGACTGAAAGTGAATTGACTGCCACTTATGTAGAGTCTCTAGAAATTAACAAATACTGCTTATTGCATTTATTAGTTAGTTACAGCTCACATTGATATGACAGACATTTGTACAGAAACTTTTAGAAGGATCAGATGTCAAGGTTTCACTTTTGCAAGATTCTAAGATGCTTTGTCCACAAGTCCACATGACGTCATCATTGGGCTTACGACACTTCTCTGTATTAACCCTTACAGACTTGTATACAATATAACTTTACATTATCTTTTGGACCTATTGCCTAGCTTGCCAATGAAAAACATCATCTGTGACACAGTTTGTTTAGAGATAACAAAGAGTAGACCCTTGGCAAGTTTAATTTCTGTCCTACAACTACCTTACTAGAAAGTGGCCAGTTAATGTAGACTCTCCAAACCACAGAAACAGGTTTTGATTCTAATCTGTCTGTCATCTCAAATCCATTTCTTTTATGCAAATGGAATTGGTTGATAAAAGGCTAAACAATTTGTTACAGAACTTTAGCATTCCTCTCGCAGAGAATTCTGAAGTGTGCAGCTTCTGCTAACTGATTATTAATGAAAGGCCATGAGGGTAGTCCATGATTTACTGTAGCCAAAAGAGAATTAATAAAGTAGCTTATAAAAGGTAGAGTGTCCAAATATTATGCAGAAACTGCACAGAAATTAAACATCATATGCTTTATAAATCATTAACACATAGGAACTCAGAAGTAAATGAGTTTACATAAATAACTGAAAAAATTACATATAGAATTTGATATTTTAAGAACTGCAATGAACCATGAGAAAGAAGAACTATAAATTAATAATACTTACTCTTTTTATGTGGGTAATATATAAATGGTTTAGGTTGACTGGTTTCACCATCAGAACGTCTACGTAACTGGACAAACACTGAGACAGGGTTTGTAATGTGAATGTCAAAATATTTTGGCGTCTTGAAAACAATAGCGAACTGGAAAACATACCAAATTTTAAAATTTACTATATTTTCTGAGAACAAGCAAAATACAATCCCACGCATCTATGATTAGAATCACTATTAAGATCAAATAGAGCAAACTGAATTAAAAGGGCACCCTGAATTCAATTTGCCTATAAACTTGTTACTCCGTCTTTATTGATGGATCCAATACTTGTTATCAAATCACTTACTCTTAGGTGAAATTACTTCTAAACTAATGGACCGAATAGAAAATTGAACAAATGTTAGATCAATATATCATTCAGAAATCTATATTCATCAGTGTATAACAAGATATATTAGCCTTTTAATCATTTAAAAGAGACTTAATAAATTCTTGGTTTTGCTGTGCGACAACAGATATCAATATTTATGGAACAAAAACAGAAATTGCTGGAGAATCTCAGCAGGCCTGGTAGCATCTGTGGAGAGAAATCAGAATTAATGTCTCGGGTCCAATGACCTTTCTTCAGAACATGTTAACTCTGTTAAAGAGACATCAACTCTGATTTCTCTCCACAGATGCTGCCAGGCCTGCTGAGATTTTCTAGCAATTTCTGCTTTTGTTTCAGATTTCCAACATCTGCAGTTCTTTGTTTTTTTTAAATCAATATTTATGATTTGGGTGCATGATTAAGATCATGTTAGGATAACTATTTCCCATATGGAAAACTTACTTCTGAATAATTATAGAGATGATGGATTACAATTATATGGATAGACTTTCTAATAGATGAACAACCAGAAACAGATTTAAGGTGGTTTATAAAAGAACTAGAAAATGGAAGACAAAACTTTTGCACATAACAAAGAATTATGACATAGAATGGCTGATACATACAAATTAGCTAGTAACACTCAAAAAGAAATTTTATAGATACTTGAAGGAGAAAAGAACAGCTGTAACAGAGTTAGGCTGTGGGACTAATTGGATTGCTTTTTGAAAGGGACAGTACAGACTTGTTGCAAACTGATTAGTTTCCTTTGATGCTGTGCTACTTTATGATTCTTTAGGCTGGATTTTTTAAGTGACAGGGGTGATGGGGAGACATACAGTTTGCCATCCAGACAGAAAGTCCATTCCTAAAAGCCAACTTCACAGAATCGTAGAATTCACATAATTATTACAGTGCCGAGGGGGGCCACACAGCCCATTGTGCCTACACCATTTTATAACAAGCCTGCCCTATGTTCTGCACATCAAAGCCCATCCCCTATTCCTGCTATTAGCAACTTTATGATTCACAAGCCCGCATACAACCTTTCCAACCTTTCTGTACCAATTGCAGGAGTGGACCTTTTAGGCACCATACAATTTTCTTGAAATCAGAATGGCTCCTGAAGACTATGTGGCCATAGCAACTAAGAAGTATTGTAAACCCATATAGAATCCCACGTATGGATTAAGGAAATTTTTCAGTGGTAAGTTGAAAAGATTTTTGCATCATTACATCATAAACTGTTTTCACGTAGTGATTTGTGTTAGGGCATTATTCTTAAAAACTCAGTAACATTAAGTTCTAGTTCTAGCACCGGGAAAGTGAAAAAGTCTTTGAATGTATTGGAGCTCACTGTCCAATGAATAAATTGGTCTTTTGCATTGAACCATAGCGGTTTCAGATTTGATAGCATCACCTTGTCCCCTGCAATTTAATCCCTTATTAAATGATAGCTCAAACATTTGTTGCCCTGTTTTAAAGTGTGGAAAGATGGTAGAGCTCTTTCAGTTATTTTAAAAGTTTAAATCTATTCAGCTCTAGGGTTTTGTTTTTATATCTATACAGGAGATCCAAGCCCCTTTGGTAGATTGTTGACACAACTGTCAAGGGAATGATGAATTTGTTTATTTTGATAGTCTATGACCACTAAATAGGATTATCTTTTTTGAATTTTTTATTGATGTTTGTTAGCTAGACAGGCTTATGAGTATCTCGAAGACTCCCCAGGTTCAACAGTTTTCTACATGCCTGAATATTGGCATGGGAAGTTGTGGGAAATGGCAGTTGAGTAAGTGGGTATGGAGATGGAGGAAGAGAGGTGGAATAGGAATAGAGAGAAGATACGCAAGAGAATGGAGGCTATGCTGATTGAGAGAGAATGAAGGTTGTGTGAAGGATGGGAAGATTAGTAGCCATCATATTCATCAAAAAAAAACTGGATAATGTTCCACCAAATGGAAGCAGGCCTTCTAATGTCCTTTGGAAGTGAACCACTTCTGCTCTCTTTCTACTCTGTATGGGAGGGTTGTGGGTTGCAGTCCCAACTCCAGCCCCCTCCCTCTGAGTCTGAAAGTTGAAAAATGGAGGGCAGACACAGCCATCCAAGAGGCTGGATTGCGAATCTGGGAAATGGCCCAAATCATGATTCCAACCTCAAAGGAAAATCAGGCCCAAAATGCCCATAATGTGTTGTTCATTAACATAAATGCTCAAATTGTGAGGAGCTTATGTCTAATTATGTGATAAGTGCTTCCTCTGCACAAAACACTTATTTTCAGGAGCTGATGAAGTAGATCTGTCTCATGACCATACTTTACTCAAGGTTAAAAAAATTAATCAATGACACAAATGGTTTAAGTAGACTGAAAGTATGTTGAGTTTCATTCTTTTAAAATGCACACAGGATGATTCTGTGAAGTTTTTTTTTTAAATGTTGGATTTTTCAATAATTTACTTAATTTTATTTTTTAAAAAATTGATGGTTTGTAGTTTATTGCCTGAACATCCATTCTGCCTAGAGCTATGAAATATTTTGGGATTACCTACCTGTCTGTGAACATCAGCTGCACCAAATTTTCCAAATGCCTCCCAAATATGGCCACTCTCATCTTCTTGATAGAAGCGTACCTGAATATCATCTGAGGAAGGAAATTTATTAATTCAAGCTTTGATAATTATTCAAGTTCCTATTATTTCAGACTAATATAACGATAATAATGTGTTTCAATCTACATCCAGAACAGTAAAAAGTAAGAAATAACCTAACAAACATATACATATACATTCCACTACAGAGGAAACCCGGAAGTGAGGCAATCCATCACAACAGACCCCATAGTTTAAAAACCAGGCGGGAAAACACACCGACGCTTCATCAGAGGCTGCACTGAGGATGTTACCAAGCACGGTAACGAAACGTCTGCGGAACAACAAACCAGCTCGGCAAGCCAACCAACCTCAACACCCACAACCCGAGCTACAAATCTACTGCAAAACCCTATGAAACAATAATATTTTGCAAATCTATCTGATAATCTCTAAAATGACAAATCAGGATATATGAAAGAAAACCAGTATTAATTTGAAAGGTTATTTAAATTAGCAAATGGTTTACCCTTTTGAACTTTATCACACAGCAGAAAGACTTCATCCCCACCCATCACACTCCCAGCTGTTTTGGCCATTCTCGCTATTCGCAGACTTGATGCATTAGGTGCTTCTACAAAACAAAATGGAATATTTAAAACTCATTCTGTGTGAAATCTGCCACTTAATTCTTTCCAAAGATGGAAAGCAAATTACCAGCAGAAATGGTTAACTAGTAGAAAATTTAACTATAGTGTTTGTAGGAAGGCAGAGCTTTTTTTAATTCACTCCTGAGACTTTGGCATCGCTGGCATTTATTGCCCACCTCTAGTTGCCTTTGAAAAGGTGATGATGAGCTGCCTTCTTGAACCACAACAATTCATGTGCTGCACATAAACCCTTAATGCCACTAGGGTGGGAGTTCCAGGATTTTGACATGGCTACAGTGAAGGAATGGTGATATATTACTAAGTCAGAATGGTGAGTGGCTTAGAGAGGAACCTGTGGGTGATGTTCCTATTCTATCTGCACCTCTTGACCTTCGAGATGGAAGTGGTCATGGGATTGGAAGGTGCAAAGGAACTTTGATGAATTTCTGCAGTGCATCTTGTAAATAGTACACACTGCTGCTGCTGAGTGTCAGTGATGGAGGAAGTGGATGTGGTTCCAATCAAGTGGGCTGCTCTGTCCTGGAAGGTGTCAAGTTTCTTGAATGTTGTTTGAGGTACTCTTATTCAGGCAAGTGGAGAGTAATCCATCACACTGTGGACTTGTGTCTTGTAGACAGTGAACAAGCTTTCGGAATTCAGCATGTGAGTTACTTGCTGCAGTATTCCTAGCCTCTGACCTGCTCTTGCAGCTGTTGTATTTATATGGCAATTCCAGTTCAGTTTCTGGTCAATGGTAATCCCCAGGATGCTGATAATGGGGGATTCAGTGATGATAATGTGATTGAATATCAAGGGGTAGTAGTTATATAGCCTCTTATTGGAGGTAGTTATTGCTTTGTATTGGTGCAGCACAAAATGCTACTTGCCACTTTTTAGACCAAGCATGGATATTGTCCAGGTTTTGTTGCTTTTAAACACAGATTGCTTCAGTATCTGAGGAGACACAAATGGTATTGAACTTTGTGTAATCATCGGTGAACATCCCCATTTCTGATCTAATAAAGAATGCCTGAAGAGATACCCTGGAATTGAGTTAACTGACCTCCAACAAACAACCATCTTTCTATATGCCAGGTATGATTCCAATCAAAAGAGCGTGTATTCCTGATTTTCATTGATTCCAGATTAGCTGGGCACCTTGATACCACACTGTCAAATACAACCTTGATGTCATGGGCTGTCAATCTCTGGAATACAGCATTTTCCCATATTTGAATCAAGGCTGTAATAAGGTCATGAAGTGAGTGGTCCTGGCAGAATTCAAACTGGTTGCCAGTAAGCAGGTTATTGTTGAGCAAGTGCTGCTTGACAGCACTGTTAATGACACCTTCTATCACTTTACTGATGATTGAGAGAAGGGAAGATGGGGTAGTAATTGGCCAGAGATAGTAGGAACTGCAGATGCTGGAGAATCCGAGACAACAAGGTGCAGGGCTGGATGAACACAGCAGGCCAAGCAGCATCATAGGAGCAGAGAGGCTGACGTTTAGGGCCTAGACCCTTCATCAGAAAAGGGGGAGGGGAAGGGGGTTTTGAAATAAATAGGGAGAGAGTGGGAGGCGGATAGAAGAGGGATAGAGGAGAGGATAGGTGGAGAGGAAACAAACAGGTCGAAGAGGCGGGGATGGAGCCAGTAAAGGTGAGTGTAGGTAGGGAGTTAGGAAGGGGATAGGTCAGTCCAGGGAGGACGGACAGGTCAAGGGGGCGGGATGAGGTTGGTCGGTAGGAGATGGAGGTGCGGCTTGAGGTGGGAGGAGGGGATAGGTGGGAGGAAGAACAGGTTAGGGAGGCAGGGACGAGCTGGACTGGTTTTGGGATGCGGTAGGGGGAGGGGAGATTTTGAAACTTGTGAAATCCACATTGATACCATTGGGCTGCAGGGTTCCCAAGCGGAATATGAGTTGCTGTTCCTGCAACCTTCGGGTGGCATCGTTGTGGCACTGCAGGAGGCCCAGGATGGACATGTCGTCTGAGGAATGGGAGGGGGAGTTGAAATGGTTCGCGACTGGGAGGTGCAGTTGTTTGTTGCGAACCGAGCGTAGGTGTTCTGCAAAGCGGTCCCCGAGTCTCCGCTTGGTTTCCCCGATGTAGAGGAAGCCACACCGGGTACAGCGGATGCAGTATACCACATTGGCAGATGTGCAGGTGAACATCTGCTTGATGTGGAAAGTCTTCTTGGGGCCTGGGATGGGGGTGAGGGAGGAGGTATGGGGGCAGGTGTAGCACTTCCTGCGGTTGCAGGGAAAAGTGCCGGGTGTGGTGGAGCTGGAGGGGAGTGTGGAGCGGACAAGGGAGTCACGGAGAGAGT